TAGCATAAATGAAATCAATGCTTTATGGGAGGAAGCAATGGAAAGACAGAATTTTAGATTGTTGGATTCTCATAGATTATTCATCCAGGGTTAGCAAATGTGCTTGTGGCAGATTATATTTCTGAAGATAGTTGCAACGATATGTACCATTCAGCATGTTCCTCTAGATAAGTCTGTCCAGCCCAACATGGTAAAACCCCGTCTCTACAAAAATACAAAAAAATTAGCAATATGTGGTGGCACATGCCTGTAATCCCAGCTACTCGGGAGGCCTGAGAATCACCTGAGGTTGCAATGAGCCGAGATTGTGCCGCTGTACTCCAGCCTCGGTGACAGAGAGAGATCCTGTCTTAAAAAAAAAAAAAAAGAAAGAAAGAAAGATCTGTGTCCCTATTACATGAATTTGTGACTGCCTAGACCAAGCACGGATGGTGGAAGCGGCACTGTGTGACTGCTGAGGCTGTCATAAAAACGCTGTGCACTTCCTCCTTGTTCTCTTGGAACACTTGCTCTTAGAACGCAGCCACTCTAACGTGAGGAATTCCAAGTAGCCCATGGAAAGACCTACGTGAAAAGGAGCTTAAGTTTCTGCCCACACACCTGGCTGATCTTCCAGCCAGCAGCCAGCACCAACTTGCCAGCCGTGTGAGAGAGCCATATTAAAAAGAGTCACACTATCTGAGGCTGCATGGAACAGACAACAGGTCTGCCAAGCCCTGCCCACATTGGAAACTCATGAGCAAATTAAATAATTGTTGTTGTCCTAATCCACTAGGTTTGGTGAAATGTATAGAGCAGTAGATAACTAATATGTCATCTCATTTTTAAGCTCATGTTTTTACTCACCTAAACAGATCAGACTTCCTATTGAAAACGTGGTGTTCAGAAGAGTTCTTGGGATGGAATGAAACTTAGAGGGCAAGAGTCCAGGATTGAAGTCCAGTGATGTCATCCCTGGACACCGTACTGAGAGACAGCCCCAATGTTCTCTATTTGTCAATCGTATTGGAATTCAGCACCTTCATTTTATATCATTACAGTAACACAGAATGTGTGCAGGGTAAGATCTGGTTAAGATCACACAGATGTTTAGTATCAGAGCCAAAGCTCTAAATCAAGTCTTCGGATGTGTTAGTGTTTTTCACTTTGCCATGTCCCTTTTCAACAGCAGATTCCAGGGACCTGAACGGCAGGGCCTATAGCAGCAGAGGTGTGCCTAGATGCTTCCACTTCCCCCTTCCATGCCTGTCACTGGTTTCTCCTAAGTTCATTGGGATGCATGCGGATGACAGATTCCGAATTGCGATGGCTAATGAGAACCTGAGTGTAAAGAGACAAAAGCTATAACTGATTTGTATCATGAGTGTCAGAGGAGTACAGCAAAGGTGACTCAAAGCACAAACTGTACTTTTTTTTTTTGAGACGGAGTCTCACTGTCATTAGCCTGGAGTGCAGTGGTGTGATCTCGGCTCACTGCAACCCCCGCCTCCCGGGTTCAAGCAATTGTCCTGTCTCAGCCTCCCAAGTAGCTGGGATTACAGGTGCCCGCCACGACACATGGCTGATTTTTGTATTTTTAATAGAAACGGGTTTCACCACCTTGTCCAAGCTGATGTCGAACACTTGACCTCATGATCCTCCCGCCTCAGCCTCCCAAAGTGCTGGGATTACAGGAGTGAGCCACCAGGCCCAGCCACAAACTGTACTTTGATATGGAAAATACGTTGTGTGTGAGCAAGAGGGAAGGCTTTGGGCATGACTACTCTGTATCAAGGATGTCTGTCTGAAACCACACATAGACTGACTTCTTACAGGATCTTCTAGGGAACTGCTTCTCATGTCCTTGGGGAACTGTGCTGTAGATTCTGTTAGACAATTTCCATTTAATATTTTATAACTTATGTTGTTGTGGGTGAAAGAAAATCTGTTACTGTGCTTATGATGTTGCATGTATATAGTTTGGCCTCATTTCAAACACAACAGAATGGAATGCATACAACACATACAGGGCAGTACTGAAATATTTTAACTTGAATGGGTCTGTTCTTCCTGGTGTGCTTGGCATTCTCTGAGAGCAAGGTAGGCTCAGAAAAAAAGAGAGACCATTTCTAGGGCCAAACTTAAAAGCAGGATATACAGACCTAAGGCGCTATGGATTACAGGGTAGCTCACTGAGTACAGCATTCAGATTCATCCAATATACGACCAAGAGCAGAGCCTCTCTGAATTTGATCATAGTGAAGCAAAACACCCTGCAAAAGCAACTGTCACTGAACTCCTAGAAAAGCAATGATCACTTTCTCCCATCCTATAATTCTGATGAGTGTGTGGCATAGGGCGAGCTATGGAGGTTATTTGCATAAAACAAGTGACCAAGTGCATTCACTCATTTGTTTGTTTGTGGAGTACCTAGTAAGTGCAAGATGCTCTGTTCAACACTATGGGAGACATAAAGATGAAACAGACAAGGATTTTGTCTTCAAAGGTTCTCGAGCAGGGACCCCACCACGCTCTCTTAATAGAGTAGGATTTGAGTACATGGGCCTAATGAGTTAGAAATCTAATTATCAGCCAGTGGCACCCAAACAAAAGATCATGGAGCTTAATCTTTAGAAGAAGGACACATCTCTACAGTTGCCTACACAAACCAGCAGGCATCAGAAACGTTAATAGCATACTCCTTCACCTTTCTCTCTACCTTCCTTCTTTTTTTCTCTCTTTTGTTCTTTATGGATTTCATTATAATTGGAAAAATTATGAATTGCTGGATCACTCAGATGCATTAATATTCTGTTATGAAATTGTTACTGATAATAAAATTCTTTTAATCAGCTCCACCTTCAGATTACTTTCAGATTTTCAGTATAGTCTTGTCCTTTAACAAGTAAGTTTTTTTTGCTTTTTTTTTTTCCCAGAAAAATATGCAGCAGGTGTGGCAAAACAGAAATATAATATTATTAGAAGTAGATTTGTTTAGACAATAATTAAACTTTCCTTTTTCTGTACTTGGACTTCATTCTTCTAGTAATTTCTTTGTCTACATTAAATTTTCAGGAAGGTTAATGTTATCATTTCTTCTAAACTCCTCAGAAGACCGTCAAATTCTTGTTACATCTTTTCTGGTTTTGTATTTTATGTTTGGGAACTGTTTGGGAACTGTTCATTTATATTTCCCCTCATCTTTTCTGGAATACATGATCTCAGTGTTTCCCACTGGGTTTTCCTAAATGCCAACAACTTGTTTTTCAACAAATAACCTTAACCCAACAACCACCTCTCAAAGCATTATAGCATCTGGTAAAATGCAAGTGCTCAAGGAACAAGACAGAAAAGAATCTGAAGAAAGAATATGGGTCCGGGCATGGTCGCCTGTAATCCCAGCACTTTGGGAGGCTGAGGCAGGTGGTTCACCTGAGGTCAGGAGATGAAGACCAGCCTGGTCAACATGGTGAAATTCTGTCTCTACTAAAAATACAAAAAAACAACCAGGCTTGGTGGCACACGGCTGTAATCCCAGTTATTTGGGAGGCTGAGACACCAGAATCTCTTGAACCTGGAGGTGGAGCCGACATTGTGCCACTGCACTCCAGCCTGGGTGAAAAAGTGACTGGAAAGAAGAAAGAAAAGAAAAGAAGAAAGAGAGAAAGAAAGGGAGGACGGAAGGAAGAAAAAGGAAGGAAGGAAGGAAGGAAAGAAAAAGAAAGAAAGAAAGAGAAAGGAGAAAGAAAGAAGAAAAGAAGGAAAGGAAGGAAGGATGAGGTCTTTGGAGTTGATCCAATCTGATGTTATGCAAGGCTCTGGCAGTACCTTCGTGACTCTGATAAATTAATCTTACTAGGGGATCAGTTTGCTTATCTGTAAAATGGGGATGAAACTCACACTTCGAGGTAATTATGAGGATTAAGTTAACTATAAGAAAGCAGAGAGCTTGGTTCATAATAGGCAATTTATGGACCAAGGCAACTATTTCCCTTTGCTTCCTCCTAAATGACAATGATAAAGGTCATGATTGAGGAATTAAATCATAAATAGTTACAGATGCAAAACACCAATGTCCCAACCAGCTCTTCTGGCACTTCGATATGCAGAATATTTGGCATTTCTCTCCTTTTTTTTGAATAGAAAAATGCTCCTAATATTAGTGACAATTAAAATTTTGGGGAAGAAAGTACCCAGTTTTTTATCCTAGGACCACGGCTGTTGCTATTTGTCGTGGCCTGGCTTTTGTACAAAACCGTCACATTTTCTCCGCAGTCGCCATCAGGGTGTGCCTATCATGGCGTCGCCTCTTTCAAGGGACTCATAGACTTGATCCAGGTGACAGTGGGAAGCAGCTGGAGAGGAAGCATTGGAAGGCTGCGGGGTATTAAGTTATCTGCTGATGTTGTTCAAGCCTCTCTCCGCACAGAACCTCCACCAAAAACTCCTCTGCAGTTTTCGGTACCCAGGGCTGTTTCTTTAAAGTGTTTGACGTCAGAGAAGGAATGCTATAGCAACAGTCTGTCAAACTGGAATGAACTCCGAAGAAAAATGGGGGTGGGGAGAGGAGAAATGCCCCCAGGCCGTAATGACTACAGAGGAAGCAAATTCGATAGATGCATTTATTTTATGACATTTTAAACATAAAACACCCAGGAAAATGTGGGGGGGAAAACCCCTCGATAGAGATGCACGTGGTGTAAACCCCTGCAGAGAAGAGCGACTTGGAGGGGGTCTGCAAGGCCCCGGTGTCATCGGAGACGCGGGACGGTCGCTTGGCGGCGGCTTCGGGCGGCGTCACTGCGTGTAACGCTGAGGCGGGCGTCCCGAGCCGTGTTTGCGGATGAGAAACTCGGGCCCGAGGCGCCCGCGGTGTCCGGCTGGCGGCGGCGGCGCGACTCGGCCCGGCGGAGTCCGGGGCGTGCGGAACGCGGGGGCCTCGGGGGAAGTCGGCTCTCCAGCCCCGCCCCTCGTCCCGCTCCCGCCACGCGGCGCCCGCCAGCGCCGGGAAGGAAACGGGCCGCGCCGCTCAGACGGGCGCTGCTCAGCGGCGGGCTCGGGCGCCGCACGCCGAGAAAACGAAACCGCGGAGTGGACGTTCTTGTCCCTGCGGCAGGAAACGAGACGGAAAGCGGGAAGCAGAAGCCGCGCGCCCCCTGCGCCCCCTGCGCCCCCTGCGCCCCCTGCGCCCCCTGCGCCCCCTGCGCCCCCTGCGCCCCCTGCGCCCCCTGCGCCCCCTGCGCCCCCGCCCCGGCCGCGCGCTCCGAGGGTCTGCGCGCCCCCGATACGGCCCCGCCCCGCCCGGCCCGGCGCGCGCGGAGTTGCTGCTGGGAGGCGCGGGGCTGGGTGTGGCCGGCGGCTCCGGGCTCGGGGCTCGGGGCTCCTGCGAGGCGCTCGCTGCGCCGGCTCCGCGCTCTCGGCAGCGCGCGGTGGACGCGGCCCGTGCTCCCTCCAGGTAGGCGGCGAGCTCGACAGCCACCCCGGGCTGAGCCCGGCAGCGGACGCGGCCCGGCTGACGGAGGGCTGAGGGGACCCTCCCGGCGCCGCGCCGGGGCTGAGGGCGGGGGGCTGAGGGGACCCTCCGGGCGCCGGGGCTGAGGGGGGAGGGCTGAGGGGACCCTCCCGGCGCCGGGGCTGAGGGCTCGGGCGGCGAAGGGAAGCGGCGGGCTCGGCTGCTGCGCGGGAACCGGTCCCACCGCCGCCGCCGCAGGCACCTCCCGGGGTCCAGACCGCCCGCCTCGGCCGCGAGGGGAGCTGCGGTCCCAGTCCTCCAGACCCCCCGGGTCCCCTTCACGCCCCGAGGACGCCTCCCAGGAGCTCGGCGCGAGCCCGTGCGAGCCCCCGAAACCGCGGGTACTCGGGACCGCGCGGGGGGAGCGCGGGGAAGACTCAGGAAAGTTCCGCGCCGAGTGCGAGACGAGCCCGGTGGTTTCTGTCAGATTCATCCTGGAAATGATACAACGCCCGGAGTTTGGGGGTGGGAGGGGATTCATGAATTTTGAATGTTTGTGAGTTCAGTACAAGAAAAAAAAGTGTGTTCCTTTTCTCTCCACCTTGTTCTGCTTCAGAACACGGATGATTGCCCTATACTTTGACATGTGTTGATATTCGCTAAGGGAAAATGGGATTTTCAGAAGTTTGAAACTAGGCTTTCATTTGTTGACACAAGCAGTGCTGTGTCGTTTTGCATCCCCTTGGCTCCCTTTTCTCCCGCTCCTTCCCTTACTCTTTCCATAAAGGATGAGGATGCGTCTTTCTCCCTCTCAGCACCAACGTAGTTGCTGGCGTGTGAATTAGCACTTTACCGGGAAGTTTTCTCAAAACGTTCAAAATTTAATTGTTCATTGGAACTTTTATCATCAGTTCATCTCAGTGTTGCAAACTGAGTTTATGGCCTTTAAGTACATCTTGTAGGACAGAGATAGAACACGCGCTGCTTATTTAGGATGAGAGGGAAATCATTTCTAGGCAAAGAAGAAAACGACGGATTAGCTACATTTAAAATGGTGTGCTTTGAGTCTCTCCCATTGTTCATTTTAAAACTCTTCACTGTGGGGCTTTCGGTTTACTACTGATCTAGGCTCTGAAAATTTACTGTATATTTCAATGTGTGATTTAAAATCATTTTAAGATTTTCCATGTTGCATTTTGGTTTGTAGATGAATTTGAAACAAATAGAAAAATTTAAAATATCATCTTATTGAACATTGTCAACTCTTTTTATACACACTTACACAACTTTTTTTTTTTTTTTGAGACGGAGTTTCACTCTTGTTACCCAGGCTGGAGAGCAATGGCGCGATCTCGGCTCACCGCAACCTCCGCCTCCTGGGTTCAGGCAATTCTCCTGCCTCAACCTCCTCAATAGCTGGGATTACAGGCACGCGCCACCATGCCCAGCTAATGTTTTGTATTTTTAGTAGAGACGGGGTTTCACCATGTTGACCAGGATGGTCTCGATCTCTTGACCTCGTGATCCACCCGCCTCGGCTTCCCAAAGTGCTGGGATTACAGGCTTGAGCCACCGCACCCGGCCGTATACAACTGATTAATATGGCTTGTGATACATTTGGGTTGGTTCATCTCTTTGTGGGCCCATAGACATTATTTAGGAAGTTATTCAGAGTCGTTGGCCATTGTTAACCTGTAGAATTATTTCTTTTAAACAATTGGCATGTAAGTATGTCAGCACATACTTTTAAACTTTAAAAATAGACTCTGGGGCAATTTGAAGGTTAAGAATTGGAACTAAGTGTTGGACATTTTTCTGCCCTTACCAAATACTGCCTGAGATGGTGTGATTTCTCTTTGGCATGTTATTGAAGACAGCTGGCTGTGTCATTAGCTTCTTTACCTTGCTGACTGTTTTAATCTGCATCTGTTATGGACTTATTTATTAAAATATCTCTCCTGGGCTGGGGCAGTGCTGTAAGTTATTCTACTTATAACTCACAATAACTTGGCATTGTCTACTTCCACAAGTAAGGAAATTCCCTGTGAGATTTTAAGTAACTTGGCAGTGGTCATGTAGCCATTAAGTAACTCAACTGGGATTCAAAGCAAAGACTTCTGTGCTTCTAAAGTCCATGTTCTTTCCTCTGTGCCATGAGGGCATGAGAGGTGACCCTCAATTACTCGTTAGCATGTGTGTAAAATATCCAAGACCTGACAGACGTGTTTGTTTTTCCAGCAAAATCATTATTGTCCATCCCATGTTTTTTATTCAGCTCCTTACATCAACCATTCCCTTCTCACCACTCTACTCCTAGTTAAATGTCATGTTCCAAGTTCAAAACCTCCCCTTTGCTAGGGCACAGTGTATCCTATTGATATTAATAAGTAGTGATGGCTTAATTATCTTGATAAAATAAAACCATTTTAATGTGGGTTCTCTGGAGATATAGTTACAACTAATTTGGAAGGTTACAAACAGGATGGCAATCTATTTTGGGATATGAGAACCCTTTGATATCCCTGAAATTAAACCAGAGGATATTTTGATATATATTTCCCTCTGCAGTTTATCATACTCTCTCCTACATCTTCAAATTGTCAGTTGCTACATAATCATTTATATTATTTTACAGTCTATCTCCCATTTTAAAATAAAATCGTTTCTTGATCCAGTGTTCTGCTTCAGTGACTGCCTCATTTCTTTTTATTTGTTTTTATAAATAGCAGTGGGATCTCACTGTGTTGCCCAGGCTGGTCTCAAACTCTTGGGCTCAAGCAATCCACCCACCTCAGCCTTCCAGAGTGTTAGGATTACAGGCATGAGCCACTGCATCTGCCTCTGCCTCATTTCTCTACCTCACCTTGAGGAAGTGTAGTTTTTTGACAGAAAAAACAAATACAGGAGTGATAACCAGAAACTATAATAAGTTACCTACATGCACTGGGTAGGTGCCAACAGAAGGAATGGCCTTGCTCTGAATATTCCTTTTTGCATAGTTTTGAGTTTTGGAAACTTGTTAGTTTTTTATACGTTCAAAAAGAAAATTAACAAGATGTGGAGAGTGGGACTCCAAAACTGAATACAAACAGCAACAACAAACTAACTTTATTTCAGTGAATAACATAAACCCCCAGAAGGTAAACAAACAAACAAACAAATAAAAAACAAACCCAGGTAAGTTTTGAGCACAGGACTTTTACTGTCTGCCCTTAATCTAAAGATTAAAGAACTGAAAAAATAATCTTGAACTCTGTGTAGTAGGCTGCTATTCATATGGTAGAGGAGTAGCAATTCTGAAACTATTTTGTGTGTATTGTAGGATTGAGCGAATGAGTAAATTCATTGATATTTTGGGAACTAGAGTTTTCACTGTGGAAGAAGAGAAATAAAAATATGAAACAGGCTGGGCGCGGTGGCTCAAGCCTGTAATCCCAGCACTTTGGGAGGCCGAGGCGGGTGGATCACAAGGTCAAGAGATCGAGACCATCCTGGTCAACATGGTGAAACCCCGTCTCTACTAAAAATACAAAAAATTAGCTGGGCATAGTGGCGCGTGTCTGTAGTCCCAGCTACTCAGGAGGCTGAGGCAGGAGAATTGCCTGAACCCAGGAGGCGGAGGTTGCAGTGAGCCGAGATCGCGCCATTGCACTCCAGCCTGGGTAACAAGAGCGAAAGAAACAGAAGAAGGCAACGAAGAACTCTTGATTTTGGATTGGAATTAATGGTTTCAACAGGATCTCATGATTAAAATATATATTCACATATGCATACTTTCATCTTGTTCTGTCTGATGAAAGAGCCCAGAAGCAATGACACTCTGGTACCAATGAATACAACTTGTCCCCAGTCTAAATGGCTGATTCCAGATCTGGGGCAGGGAAGATATAAGATGAGCCTTACATACCTTGTACCACAAAGTAAGGACATGTTCCAAAAAAATGATGGGGACATGTCAAAAGGACATAGGACTAGCTGGAAGCAACTGCCACTGACCAAATCTGGGAAAATTTGAGCATCAAAATGAATAATGGCTCTCGGGTGGAGCCTTCAGAGAGCTGGTGCGCCTGTCCCGCGAACATCCTCCTGCCCTCAGTCATGGCTTGTGGTATTGAGGGCAGCAACCTGAATCTCAAACCTGGGGAGTGCCTCTGAGTGCGGGGCGAGGTGGCCCCTGACGCCAAGAGCTTCGTGCTGAACCTGGGCAAAGACAGCAACAACTTGTGCCTACACTTCAACCCTCGCTTCAACGCCCACGGGGACACCAACACCATCGTGTGCAACAGCAAGGACGGCGGTGCCTGGGGGGCCGAGCAGCGGGAGACTGTCTTTCCCTTCCAGCCCGGGAGCGTCGCAGAGGTGTGTATCAGCTTCGACCAGGCAGACCTGACCATCAAGCTGCCAGATGGATACGAATTCAAGTTCCCCAACCGCCTCAGCCTAGAGGCCATCAACTACATGGCAGCTGACGGTGACTTCAAGATCAAGTGTGTGGCCTTTGACTGAAACCAGCTAGCCCATGGCCCCCAATAAAGGCCTCTGCTCCCTCTGAAAAAAAAAAAAAAATGAATAATGATAGTAATAGATGATAACCCACTGAATAAAAAAAGATCCACAAGTCCATAATAAATAATGAAAAAGGGAAAGCTTTTCCAAGTAGAATGCCAATTAAAAAACATAGAAGGGGCTGGGTGTGGTGGCTCATGCCTGTAATCCCAGCACTTTGGGAGGCTGAGGCAGGCGGATCACCTGAGGTCAGGAGTTCAAGACCAGCCTGACCAATGTGGAGAAACCCTGTCTCTACTAAAAACACACTATTAGCTGGGCGTGGTGGCGCATGCCTGTAATCCCAGCTGCTTGGGAGGCTGAGGCAGGAGAATTACTTGAACCTAGGAGGCGGAGGTTGCAGTGAGCTGAGATGGTGCCATTGCACTGAAGCCTGGGCAATAAGAGCAAAACTCCATTTCAAAAAAAAAAGGAACAATACAGTTAGAAAAATCATAGGTTGGCCGGGCGCGGTGGCTCAAGCCTGTAATCCCAGCACTTTGGGAGGCCGAGGCGGGTGGATCACGAGGTCAAGAGATCGAGACCATCCTGGTCAACATGGTGAAACCCCGTCTCTACTAAAAATACAAAAAATTAGCTGGGCAAGGTGGCACGTGCCTGTAATCCCAGCTACTCAGGAGGCTGAGGCAGGAGAATTGCCTGAACCCAGGAGGTGGAGGTTGCGGTGAGCCGAGATCGCGCCATTGCACTCCAGCCTGGGTAACAAGAGCGAAACTCCGTCTCAAAAAAAAAAAAAAAAAAAAAAAAGAAAAATCATAGGTTTACAGCCATCATGGTAATTAATATTTATTCAGGCAAGTGTTACTTCAGGCAAGTGTCACATAGTCTGAAATGATCTCTAGATTAACAACCAAGGGGAAAACAGTAGCTTCACAGTGGAGAAGTCTGGCAGATGCTACCTTAACCAAGGGGTCAAAGTTAGTATCA